GTATTATCGCAAGAAAATCAGGACCTACAGGGACATCGATTTGTTTTCGGCGACCCAGGGCCTTGCCCATCACAAGTCTAAGTTTTGGGAACTAACCTTCCTGGTATGACTCACTTTGAAACTTTAAATAATTGCATCTCTTTGGGAGGTGCTCCCAGCGGCCTGAGAGAGGGAAGAGAATGAGATGGTGAAGCCACAGACAGCCCAGCCCAGGAGGCGGTACCTTTCGCCTGTGTGCTCCCTGCTGCTGTCCGAGGTACTCCGCACAGACACGGGCGTTCGCGGGCCCCCTGTGATCACTTCTCCCACCTGGAAGGAAAATACAGCACACGCTAAGCGGTGTGTTACGCTCTGTCATGTCTTTTAACATATGACACATGAATATGGATATATCTTAAGAAGCATCTCCTTCATTTGTGATAAGCACGCTCAGGAGCGACTAATGGAAACTCTGGGAGGACCAAAATACAGACTGTTTAATACATTCGGTAACGTGGGACTAATGGTTTCCTGAATCCACAGAGAGACATGTAAGCAGCTACTTGAAGAATGGGATGTGGGAGAGGCACGTGGGTTCAGATGCGTGGTTTCAGGATGTCAAGCGTCACTTGACCACGCGCAGAGCCATGCCGCTGACTGTCCTGCAGAGGGCGCAGTCCCTTCCGACACTTTCCTGACAGGTGACTGCCCCGCCTTTGCCAAAATAGTGCCCGGGGATGAGGTCGCATTACCTCCCGGGCAGCACCCTGCACAGACACGGTCTCTGTTCACTTGACCGCCATGTGTGTGGCTGCTTCAACTCGGAGAGCTGCCGGCGCGAGACGCCGAGGCCGGGTGAGCCGTGTAAAAAGCCAGTGAACAGATGCCAGGGAGAGACACGGCTTTTCTTCCTGGTGTGGAGGGTGAGCCGCAGAAATGACCAGTATCCAGTCATTTTTGACCCACACAGCGGTGATTTCACATGGCTCGACGTCAGAGTTGTGTGAAGTGGAATGAGAAAGGGCCGACATCACTCCGTTTCAGATGAAGACTTGCTGGTGGCAAATGAAAAGAGGGACTGGGCAAAGAAAACGGGGTGTAATCAGACGTATTTGCTGAGCCTGCTCGACACTGGGGCGTAGGAACGGGCCGAGGGCAGACCTGGGCCTGCGGGGATGATGGTCAGGGGAGTCAACAGGGAAAAGGCAGAAGGACCAAGGAGCCCAGTGTCGCTCACTGTTCTCCCCACAGAAATTCCCACAGCGCTCTCTTCATGCCAGCTTCTTAATAAATCTTTGGTAAATTGAATAAATATTTTAATTGCTTGATTAATAATTCATTCATTGTCTAAAGTTGTTCATGATGTTGCAGAAAGCTTTCTATTTCTGATAGCACCCCACTTCCACGTTGGGACAACCCAACAGACGAAGTAATTCCCTCGCCTGGTACTAATGCCTCCCGTATAATTTATTGACGGTGCATCCGCATTTTGTTTGGTGTGCACACCCGACGTCTTCGCCCATGCCTCAGAAGTAGCTTCTAAAAATGTCTCCCCATTATTTCCTTGTAAAACTTCCTCATTGCCTATGCCCATTAGAAACCAGTGGCCTTGACATAGGCCCGTGGTCTGATGGGCGGGTGGGGGAGCAGGATCAGTTAGTGGGAGGGCCCTCAGCCACGGCCCGCCCTACACTGAAATGGCGGCTGCTTCCACCAATCCTGTAGCAGCTCCAGAGGCGGTGTGTCACATAAACTGTTCACCTGCTTACATATTTCTGGTGTTTATGTTGATTGGTTCATTACTCACAATTCTGATATTGAACATTTGAATATACAAAGTTCAGATTCCTAAAACAGAGTAATCCTATATAATGTCCTATATAATAAAAGGCTATTATGCAAATCAACCAAACAGGGGAACGACTGGTCACTATGACGTGCACTGACCACCAGGGGGCAGACACTCAATGCAGGAGCTGCCCCTTCCCCGGCAGAAACGTGTATACTCGTTTTCACAAAATGTTCTTTTTCAGTCATCGACGAGTATACTAAGAAAATATGGTAAAAAAAGATGGTTTATAGGAAGACGAGTTACAAACTGTTTTCATAACCAGCATCAAAAATACTATATAGAACCAAAATAAAAAAATTAGTCTGAAAAAGAAACGTTTCTAACA